TTTATTTTTGAAGTATTTGTTCTACCTCTAAAACAAATTTAAACAGCGACCACCATTTTCTTCCGAGAATCCTCCTTAATTGGCTCTCTCCTTCAAAAAAATTATTATATTATTACAAGTAATAAAGTTTTCATCTATGGATTTTTAAAGTACGAGACCGCAAAGGGCAAAAGACAAGAAATCTCACTGATTTCCTTTCAAAATAGTTAATCAACAATTAATCAAATAGTTGGAAGTATAATGAGTCTAATTGTCATTCTAGATGCCTTGCCTCAACTAATTCGCAATACCCAAGATCGCAAACGTTAACATAATTTCCAAGGAAAAGAGGTAATTATAGTTACATAATTTTCTAGAACGGACAGCTGTCGGCCAATTAGGGAGGAGTTTCGAAAGAAAAGGGCGGTCCCCGTTCAATTTCCAACACATCCGTCACGATGCTATCCCCGTGCAATTAGCAATCGCAATTTCCTCGATTCTTTTTCCAAGAAAATTCGTCACTCTGCCTGGCTTGCTGTCATGGGTACCCATCGCCGTGCAAACCGTCGAAATCGTCGAAAAAGCTTGTTTGTTCGCCGCGGAAACGCGTCGTCATTGGTAATTACGTGAATGCCAGTCAGCCATGACATCGACAACCGACCGATTTTTAACCGAGCAGTCCGCGACTGGTGACCGCGGGCAAGGAATTCTTCGTGCTTTCGCAACACTGTCCCTCCGTTAAAGATTTATGTTATCGCTTTGTGCGGTATGTGATACAAACTGCATATCAGGCTGAACAATAGATGAGAAACGCTCGAGGAATTGTTTAAAAAAACAAATCCAACGTTCCTTTCACTCATTCCCTTTTTATTTTCCTCTATGGCGCAAATGCGTGATACGACGAACAATAACATTCCACCTTCTTCCCACCGGGGCGATTATCCCTAATCCTTTACTACCGAGACTGAAGTTTCAGGATATTCGCCGATTCTCTATGCATTCCCATCGATCATCAATTAACTGCAAGTTGCAGTAAAATTAATACGACCGACCGTGTTATTCTGGTACGTATTCTTTTCGAAAGGGAACAAAAGTGCAACAAAAATAAACGAAATTCTATCTCGGATTTTACGTCCGAAATACGGTGCCTCGGCAGTAGAGGCTTAATGTTATAGGCGATATTCTTTTGAAACGTGAAAAATAACAAGCCCAGCATTCTCGTCGAATTAACCGGGAACCAGGGCTTTTCACACGAGGCACGTAGCTTGAAAAGGTGTAGCCACAAATCGTGGCCCAGGTAACTACACGTGTGTACACACGTGTTCGCTAATGGCTACGTATTGATGACGGGGCACAAGGGAGAGCAAACCCCCGACGCTGGCTACGAATAACGAAGTATTGTATCGCCTTCGAAACACACTGCCGCCGACCCTCTACTTCGCATTTTTCCATCACGTTCTCCCTTCTGGGGAAGAGGGTTTTATCGCGCGAAATGAAAGGGGAGATCGTTAGCACCGGGTGGAAAGGAAGTCGGCAGAGAATGAATTCCTCGAGTGGTTGCCGGTCATTAGTAATTCGACGAGATGCTGCAGTTAATTTTTAAGGAAAAGAAAGCTCCGCTCCGACGTGACCTTGCGCGAGAAGGGAAAGCAATCAACGGCTCGTGTCGGCTCTCGGTGTAACGCATTACTCTTTTACGAGGCAAGGCTTTCAAAGGATGGAGAGTCAGTCCTACGTCGAGATTTCTGGCGTAACGACGAAAGAGGAAACGTATCGGTGGCGCAACAAAAGTCGACTTCTTTTTCACGAGGTTGGCCATTTGTTTAGGCATTAGCGTGAAGTACACCGAACTTCCTAGGCTACAGTTACGTTCATTAGCAGCTACTCGAAAGCCAGCCAAAGGAATGCCGTGTACACCGTGCTCAGACTTTTTTCTTCCTTTTGGTTTCTCTTGTTCGTGGCTAACCTTTAGCGTTTCCCTTCGTTTCTTATCTTCGAATCGTTGCAAAGCAGCCGAGTTCGAGTACCGGCCGTTTTATCTACACAATCGTGACCCCCTTTAAAACGATTTTCAATTACTCTACTTGAATCGAGTGTCAGACGAGAGTGAGGAAATCACCGAGAATCCACGTCTAAGTGTCGCACAACACATTGCCACTTGGACAGAGCCATTCTAAAAAGAGAGGATAAACGAATCATTGTACGAGCTTGTAATAATAAATCGATACTTCAGCTACGATTTCGCTACCATTTCTATCGATCACACAAACTCGACAAGATCCACAGCTCAGCCATCGTAGCAATACTTTCACGCAACAATAAGAGTTATCGACTTTTAAATGGGATGAGATTTGCATCTACGTGATCATTATTCATAGCGAGGGAAACTCACCAGTGTTTCCCGCTCGTCGCTTTAAAAGTCAAAGTGCATACGGTTTCTGAACGCTTGTCATGCGCGTGATAGTTCGCATCGCTCTTGTTGAATACGCGTCCTAGTAACGTGAGAATGTTGCAATAAGGTACAATCATATTGCGAGAAGAAAGAGCTCTCGAATAGACGTGTGGAAGTTCGTCGAAGCAGGTATGCTTGCATAGTTTACCGATGATCGGTGTACGATCGTCGGAAGGTAAGTTGTCTCGTGCCTCCGGGACTCGTGAATGAGCTTAAAATCGCTTTCAACGTTACCGATTCAGCACGACAGAATACGATAATGCTACTGATGGTATTGAAAGAAAAGCAAGAAGAGATACGTATACTGAAGACGAGATTGATCATTCTGAATTTTTAAAAATTAATCAGCACGGATAAATTTTGCCAAAAACTCGATAAAATATAAAAGGAATTAAATAGGAAGACGGAAAATCCTCACATTCACAAATATAACTCTTAAAATCTTAGAATTTCTAAAATACTCTTGTACGAGAAACATAGAAAGAGATATTTCGATGAAATATTTTCCACACATTTACAAATTAGTCACATATCAAAATTAACTATCCATATGTTACACATTATTTGTTTTTCATTAATCCATTGGATACAGCTACACAAACTAATCAAGATCGCAGCCAATTAGCTCGTATTACTTGCCATATAATTAACAATTGTATCAGTTATATAATTAATTGTTTAGCTATATAATAATGCAATTAGTAATTATACGTCAAATAATACCGATTACCCAGGTCTCACCACGTGGAGGTGCTGCGAGTGGAGACCCACCCTATCCGCGTCCCATCCACCCTCCTTTTGCGAACAAAAATTTATTAATTTGAAACATGAATTCATGAACAAATAGTTCTTCTATCGTACATTTGCAAAACGTTCAATTGATCGTTGTGCAAACTGGACAATAAAAAGAACTGTAAGGAAAACCGACGCGGAAACTAAATTTCTATGAAAATAGAAATTATATTAAAGCTTAAACTAATTACATAATTCTATATGAGACGCAGCTTCGACTATGTAACAGTAATTAAAAAGTTTAAATGTGAGTCTCATGTAGAATTTTACTTATCCCACTTAAATTAATATTAACTAACCTTCACCATGCATGCACTCAGATACTAACGCATCTTACATACTTATAAGCACCCATACTTGAGCATAAATCTAATAACCAACTTAAAATACAACACTTAAAATACAACACAACACAACACAGTACACTACAATATAACAACTAATTTAAAACTATCTGTAGCCTAATTTAGCCTAACATGATCTAGCATCTTTACAAAAAAGTGAGTGATTTTATTCATTCCAAAAAAAAAAATGTAGTTTTCTTCCTGATGTTGTTACATAAAATCTTCTTCTGTTGATTGCGTAATCTGTACCTAAAACAAACCTAAGAAACTGTAAAAGATTAGTAAAGTCTGTAAAATATAACTATTACTTCCACTTGAATGAAACATCATTCTGTCGTAATAATTTTTTCCTCTTTTCCCCTTTTTTTAACTCGTATTCTATCTTTTTAAATCTTAGTGTCCATATGTCTGTATATTTTCTGTAACTAATGCTCTCTGTAATTAATATGTCTGAAACAAACTTATGTACTATTAATGTTACAATTTAAATAAGAAAACAGAATAAAAAAGACCTGTAATTGAAAAAATATTATACATACAAAAAAAAAATTAGGTTATTATCAAGATAACATAATTATACTTTACACTTCATAATTATATTTTATTAATTGAATTAAGTTATTTTTTTATTCGACAAATACATACAAAAGAAAATTAGGTTGTTATCAAGATAACATAATTACACTTTACACTCCATAATTATATATATTTAATAACTTAAACTGGACTGAGTAAGTCAAAAATTGAAAAATTATCTTTGATACAAAGATGAAACTCGATTAAAATCATATAATTTGTATTTCAACTTTTGTTTATACTAGTTATATAACGTTTACTCGTAATACGAAGAATGGAAAGAAGAACTGCGTAAAATACGTTTGAATTGCAAGATCTTTGTTATAAATAAACGGCGATTGCGAATAAATTTAGATTTATGCATACCAAACTCGATTATTTATAAAATACTATTTTATTGTTGAAAATTTTATTGTTGAAACATTTAGAATAGAAAGATCGAGAAAATAACTCTGATAACGAACAATCACTATTATTGAGTCTAATAACAATAAATTGGACATTAATTCATATTTCGAAATAAACTGATACTCTACAAAGTACTATTGATTTAATTATTTTATAAAAGGAGTTTTAAATTTTCATTGTAATATTTTATTGCAATATTTTTCTCACTTTATTTTATATATATGGCACGTGAAATCACTTACATGTAAAATTTATAATAAAATTCTGCATTCTAAAACCCGTAACAAAGGTAATAAAAATATATATACATATATATTTTTTAGCAGTATTTTCAATAACAAATACAGTAGTAAAGGATGCTGAAAAAGAAAACCTAACACAGTAACCAGAAGGGCTACCATCAAAAAAAATCTAAAACAGTAGCCAGAAAGACTATCAAAAAAGAAATCGCGACACAGTAGCCAGAAAGGCCACTGAAAAAACAAGCATTTTCTACTCAACAACTAGAAGAGTTACTGCATAATTATTTACATTACGAACTCGAGCAACAAACCGTATCTTGTTTCGCGACACTAATTGCACTAGCAATAATTGTGAAATGCAAAATTTACAGAATCAAACGCGATGAGTGCTTCGTCATATTTAAAACTCCCGAAAGTAAATACGTAACGCTATTAATCTATGCACTCGTGTTTAAAAATACGCAACACTAATTGCGACGCGTCCATTGCAACCATGCTAGAGGTTGCTGATGAATGACCATCTCTGTGCAGTTCTTGTAACTACATCAGGTGATCCAGGAACAGGAACAACCTTCCATAAATCCAGGTGGAAGAATTTGGGCATTTTGTAAACGCAACGCTACTTCAAGAAACCCGAACATTTATTATCGCAACACTAAGAGGTAAAGTAATTGGGAATCGCGATGAAATAATGTCGCAACGATAATTCTAAAACTATATATATTCAATGAAAATTGTTATCAAGAATACAAAAGGTAATATTCAAATGTTTCAACATTCTAAAATTAATTAAAAGCAACGACTCTATAATCTAATTTAAAACAATAGCAAACAAAACAAATTTTACTATGTAAAACTCTAGGATAACTTTGAAAATTCACAATCAAAATTGCAAAGAACAATCACGATATCATAGCTCGCAACTCTAAAGCAAACACGATTATCATTTCTTCGCAACTCTAATAAGAAAAATCGCGATTTGCCCAAAACTATGATGAACGATGATGGAGAAGAAAAAAAAAAATACAACTACAAATACTAAAAGAGCATAGTGACAAAGTAGTAACCCAATGACTTCCCATGCTTTGGAATCATTTTAATGATCCAGAGGATGAGAAGTCATTCGTTGCGACCCTCTTCGTGGCAGTTTGCCGGGCCTCTTCGGCTTCTAGCCTTTTCTTTCTTCGAGCGCAATGCCCGCTGAAATTTACATCTAGCTCGAGTCTTTCTAATCGCAAACCAAAAAATAACTTATAAAGGTGAAATGAAAAGATAAACCGCGAAAGCTGACCCCAATACACATGGACGACCATCGATCATACTGATCGTTGTCCGTTCGCATGTGCGTGCTCGAGCAATACCTACATGAACGTTCGTTTCGGGACCTACTCGCGACCTATCCGCGACCGCGACCGCGATACTAAATTCGAAAAATCGAAGAGTGAAACCAGAAACAAGCGGCATGCTCCATTTGTACCAATTTCACTGTCGATTTTTCAAATTCGATTTCCAGAAACAGGTTGGACACGCGAAAAGGGGACACGCGACCAGAGACTGTGCCAACGCCCTACCTACTATAACTTAGACACAAACATACCAGAAGATAAGCTACCTATCCTAATCAATCGCCCTATATTTAAAAAATGGCAAAACAAGCACACCAACACACTCGCTCCACGGT